TGTGTGGCATTACCACTCAGCTCCATAAGTTATTACAGGTAGTTAAAGCGCCAAGTGAGTCTTGAGTGCTGTGGCTGCGACTAGTGCAGAACCTGGAGATTCCTAGGCTTGGAAAGAAAGTGTGCAGTGCTTCAGGGGACTTGCAGGTCAGCCAGCAGTTGTAGTTTTTCAAAGAGTCCCAGTTTTCTGCTTATGTACTTTAAAGAAATTAAAGACCATTCCTCCATCTTGAATAGTCTTTAGTGACCCTCCATTCTGCTGTCAAAATCAGTCTTATCTTTCTAGTTAATGATGTGCACATGTAGGTGGTTAGGTGTGTCATCACACTTCCCCTTTATTTTGAATTGGCAACAACAACAAAGTAAGATGGTTTGGTGGATGGGTAGAGGAATTAACAGATGGAAAGGCATGATACAGCATGGAATAAGAAAAGTAGAATCTTAGTGATAGAATATAGTGCAAAAAACTTGTCTGTATGTCTGAAATTTCTCGAAATGTTGGGGAAATGCAATCTTCCCTTAAAAACCTAGTTTATGTTCCAGTACTTTGGGGGTGGCTTTCTAGGTTTCCTGAGTTATTTGGAAATAACTTTGCTTTGTAGAACTGATTTGCTCACTTCTCTTAGCCTTTATGCTGGACAGTGAACTCCGTATAGGCAGGTATACTGTCTTCTCTGTATCCTCGAGGCACCAGACAGGCATCATACACAGCACAGAGGAGAGGGTCCCACATGACTTCAGGATTAGTTTAGGGATGTCATGTCTAACTAGAGTTAACTATGTTAAAAGTCATTAAGTAAGGTTTGCTGCATCAAGCATGTACACACATGTGTGCATGTGTTTTAAAAGAGAGGACTAAAAAAGTCAGACTTAACACCATATTCTGATCATGGCTGTAAAACAAGACTGCTGTGTGGACTGTTGGATGCTGCTAACTACATGGGTGATCGTGCTGCTCAGCTCCTAGCCCTTGGTGAGGGAGCCGCGTACCATGATACCACAATTCAAATCCAGGGTCCTGGGCTCTCTGGATGCCCCCATGTGGAGGGCAATGCTATGAAATGTAAATAAGGATGAAGAAGTTCTATCAGGGTCTTTGACAAGAATTCATCTAGAGTCTGGATGATGTTGCCAAAATACAAACAGCCCCTAGCAGCCAAAAAAGAGATTCTAAAATCATTTACAGTGGTATGCTCGTTTCCCTAAGGGTAAACATATTTTAATTTGGGGAAGAAAGCTAGAAGATTTTAATAGACTCAAGGATATGTGATTTTTATTTAAAGGATTTATACATATTTTATATTTCAAACATTTATTTGAAATAACTTGGTCCATGCAACAGGTTAGCAAGTATTTCCAAATTAAGTATGCAGTGAAGATTTAGATTTGATTATTGGGAGGGTTGAAATCTTACTGGATTTGTAAGCAGTATTCTAGCATTTAAAACAATTTAATAGGTTTCTTAGAGCTGTTTTAAGGTGATGTTTTGTTAAGTTAAGCAATTCTAAAACTTAGAAAACAAATACATTCTAAATTAAATAGTTTTAAATGTCTAATGGAACTTCACTGGTTTGTAACTTGAATCACCCATTTGTCAAATGACCCTTTGAAAGACTGTAAAAACTGTAAGATACGTAAGTTGGATTTGAAACTAGGCTTTTAAAAAAAACAAATGAAACCTACATTTTAAAAACCAGGTAAACCTATATATTGCTTCCTGTGCACACAACCACCCTAAAGTCATTAAAAAAAGCTCATATGAAATAAAGGGATTGGGCCTCCCCTGGTGGCGCAGGGGGTTGAGCGCAGCACTGTGAAGCTGTCTGCAGCCTCTGCAGCACAGGTTCCATCCCGGCCACCAGCGAGGGTCCCACATGGTGCGGCAGACCTCTCCTGTCCCACCTGCTGCTCCCCTCAGCAGTGTGTATTTTGTCAGTCTGCCTGTTCTGTTCCCCACTTTGTCTCTGGTGAATTCTCTCACCCTCCCACGCATCTGGCCTGTTCCCCGGTTCTTGTATAAATAAATAAATAAATATTAAAAAAAAAAATAAAGGGCTTAACATTGCTTTAAGGTCACAGTAGATGCTTAGTATTAGTTGTCTTTGAATTTAAAATTTAAATTAGCAATATTCCTTATGGTGTGGCAAGAAGAAACTGAGGAGCTTCAAGTTAATTATTCTTTATGGCTGGAAACCTGCTCAGAAAGAATGAACAGTGGCTTTTGAAAGGTGATCTTGCTCATGTAAAGAACAGGCATAAATGATGAACTTTCAATGAAATGATCACTGTAGCTCAGTATTAGTATTGAATACACAGAAATACTCATTGAGGACAAATTGTAGAGGTAAATATTAGAAGACCTTTTATCAAAGCATGAATTGACATTTAATTCCATGGGGTTGGGAGAGCATTTGCAAGACTATAGGGTATGCAGTCACATGTCACTGTCCTGGATATTAATCTCATCCATTCAGCACAATGCCACAAGAAATTTAAACTAGTTACATGTCACACACTTATCAAGGTATTCTGTCTGCATTCACAGAAAATAAGCAAGGATGGGCACCGACATTTTTGCCATCTGGACAAGGTTCAGATGAAATTGCATGTAATACAGAGCCTTGGATTTATTTTGTCTTGGCCACTCAGACAGCCCTGAGCAGGGTGCATAGTGAGGCTGGGAGCTGGAGGATGCTTGGCTTGTCTGCAGACGTTGTCATTTAGGTCTGGCTTCTGGTAATTAGGCACTCCTAGCTGGGCTCTGCTGTTAGCGAGCGTTTGAGACAAATTGCAAAACCTGTACAACCATCTGAGAGATGGAAAAGTAGACCCGATGACACTACAGGGGATATTGGTAGTTCTCAAAAGTTTGAAAAGGAATGCTTAGAAAAGCAATCCTCAAAACTGAATTTAGAGGCCCTTTTCCTGTGGTTAATGGGTGAGTTCAACCATAGAATCAGGATATGAGAAGATCCTGACAGGTTGGAGTGCTAGGCTTCATTTAACAGGATAAAATGTAATAGAAATAAGTGTAAGATTCTCTATTTGGATCTGAAAATCCCAACTATGTATGAAAGGACTGGGGATAAGGGGAGCCATATGTCTGAGTAGCGTGGAGAGAAGACCTGGGAGTTCAAGGTGATATAAATCAGTAGTTTATTGTGGTCTCCCAAAATCAAATGCAGTGTTAGGCTGCATCAACAGAGGTAGCTATAGAGTATTTAGGATGAGGAAGGCGATAGATCGGCTCCACCAGGGACCTGTCATAGCCAGAGCATCACTATAGTTCTGGGCTGATGGCTATGAAAGAAAAAGAGACAAAGGATAGCCACGGGATGGATGTGGAGTATTCCAAAGCTGGTCACAGATAACAAAGGAACAGGGGAGGTTTAGCTTGGGTACAACTATAGGCAGGAAAACCTGAAAGCTGTCTCTAATATCTGAGAGGCAGTCATGTGCATAAAGGGCCAGCCTTGTTCTTGGTAAGAAGAAAAAGAAGAATCTGGGGGTGAAAGCTATAGGGCATCTCAAATAAGGAGGGATGCTTAATTCTTAAATATGTTTTACGATAGAATGAGCTGCTTCCTAAACTCTCAATGGTTTTAGGCTTATGAGGACGAAGTGTTTTGGAGGTGGGACTGGATGACTCAGAGGTACTTTTCAGCCCCAAGATTCCACAGTTCCTTTGCCTTCCAGACCTAGCAGGCAGGTGGTGAACAGAGCATCCTAAGCTGAGATGGCAGTGTCTTCAGAATTCTCAGACCAGATGTCTTTACATAACGACACTGGTATTGGTCCTTATTGATGCTGCCAGTTCTTTACTTGGCCAGGTGACATCTGCGGAGGGGGTCCCCACTCTTTCTCTGAGGCTGTATTTTCTCGTTTATTCTTTCTGTGTGCTAAGTAGTGCACTGGATACTGAGAAACTTTGAGAAACAAGAGAAAGTTCTAGCCCTCTTCAAGTGTGCAGTATGTCCAAGAAGTGAGACAGAAAGCAGCAATTATACAGCTAGCCACAGAGTCACGATGATGGCTATAATTTGAACCCATGTCTTGTATGAATGGGTTTTTATTTCATGTAGTAGTGACTTAGTATTATGTTTTCCCATTTAGCTTTGGGGATAAGCATTTCTATTATATTATGTTCTTGAAATTAAGGTGATCTATTTTGAGACTTCTCAATCTCCTGGTAGCAGTAGGGATGAGAGGGAGTTGTTTATGCTTTTAGGCATTTTCTTGCCCACGAAGAGTATATAGTTTGGAGGAGAGGAGTCTGGTTTTGTTTTTTTTAACTGATATATTTTATGTGTAATTTGTGTCTACTTTTAGGGGGCATCTGCTTTCATAATGTTTGCTTATTGTACATAAGGTTTTTGGTGACCACAACAGTTCATACTCCTGTGTCTGATTCTAATGGGACTGAACTATGAATACAAACCTGGGTGAGAAGAATGCGTGTATTCCCATCCAAATCCTTCCTTGTATTGTGGCTTGCACACCCATTACTGACCGAAGTTTAAAATTAAATGCCCTCCATCCTAATGTCACCTTGTAAATTTTTTTTTTTAAGATTTATTTATTTATACAAGCACTGGGTACAGTCAGAAACGCGGGAGGGTGAGAGAATTCACCAGAGACAGAGGTGGGAATAGAACAGGCAGATTGACGAAATACACTGCTGGGGGGAGCAGCGGGCAGGCAGGAGAGGTCTGCAGCGCCATGTGGGACCCTTGCCAGTGGCTGGGGATTGAACCGGCACTGCAGAGGCTGCGGGCAGCTTTGCAGCTCAGTGCTCAACTGCTGTGCCACCAGGGGAGGCCCACCTTGTAAATATTTTTATAAACAATTTTGCTGTTTCATTTTTCTGACCTTAGTAGACTTAACAGCTGCAACTTAAAGATTCTTGATTCTGAATTCTCTTCTTAGTTTTCAGAGATGACCTTTTTTTTTTTTTTTTTTTTTTAAGCAACTCAGCTTAATGTAAATTCTTCTTTCTTTCAGGTAGGAATGAATTGATAGCCAGATACATCAAACTCAGGACAGGAAAGACACGGACCAGAAAACAGGTAAAATAACCTACCCAGGAGTTGTGCATGTCAGCGAATGGCCCACCGAGGCATTTTGGCTGCAGTGGCTGGCTGTGCTTTGGCTCCTAGGAGCCCCCAACATGAGTTCCCTGTAAGGACGTCAGTGTTGCAGGTGTTTGAAATTGGCCCAGTCTCAATATTCATCATTTCAGTGACCCATTATGATGTGGTCTCAGTTCTTTTTATACACATATGGGAAAGTTTCACTTCGAAGGACAGCGTATGAACTGCTCTAGCGCTGCATTTTAAAACTTGTATTTCTTTCCCAAACTGTGCATCTGCAAACATTACAAAAGCTGCAGGTGCAAATACACATGCAGTCATGCAATTTTGAGATTTTGTGTGATGTAAAATCCTGGAACAGCCTCACATGAGTCATCATTTCAATGAAAAAGTAACACTAGCAGCCATGAGTATTGGCCTGAGTATGATACTGAACGATGTGCGTCCAGGGAACTGCTGCTCCTTAAGCTATGGCTTTTGTCAGTAGCTGCTGTGACTGAAATGATGTTACCACTTAATACCTCTGGGCAGAGTAGCATCAGGATTTTCTGCCCTTACTCTGGGCTCTGCCTGTCCTTATTCTTTCTGATGCAAAGTAGCCCAAGTCTCTGACCCAGTTCAGAACTGGACTTGACGAGACATTATTGAACTTAATTGTCTAATAAAACCAGGAAAAGAAACGAAGGAAAAAGAAAGAGGGAAAAGGGAAAGAGGGAACAAAATCAAACCTCATGGATGAGTTCAGGGGAAAAAAAAAATTTTTTAAATGTTGACTTTATGCCGATTGATCTGGCATGGATTTTAAAAACTGTAACCTACCACAAGGCAAGCTCAACTGTGGTCTTGTTAAGCCCGAGCAGTAGATTCCAGTTCTCTGCTCAGTGATGAGTTGTTTTCATGAGTGTTTATGACGGAAGAGCTTCGCCCCAGCAGTGCTCCCTGTGCCCGAGCCTGGAGTCAGCACTGAGGGAAGTGGCCTCCTGCCAGGCTCAGAGGAGGGAATGGACTGTTGGGGGGATATTCCCTCCAACAATGGCCCTCATCAAGTCAGACAATCACATAAGAACAAAATTTGGGTGAAAACAAACAAAAGCGGGAGCTGGATAGAGGGGTGAAGAGGATGGGGGAGTTCCTGCTTCTCCAGACATTCGGAAAATGAAAAGATCACAAAAGCAAATTGGGGAAAAGAAAAAAACCAGAATAATTGAAACTCAAAGACAAAGTTAAAGATAAAAGATCATTTATTATCATAAATTTGTTTCTAGAGTTTCTAGAGTGTTTGAAAAGAAGTAATTGCCTTGAAGGCTGAGTTGCTGAACTTTTTAAATGGGAGGTACTAAATTTCTGAAACACACAGATCTAATTCCCAACAAACTGCAAGTACTGGACCTGGCTGTGTGCGGTTCATGAGCTCTGATCACATGCCCTTTATTGAGGGACTCCTGTAAATTTAACTGAGTCCTACTAAAAGAGATGCAAATGTATTTACCCAGTAGAATCATTGTGTTTGAGAACTGGGCTTGGCGTGGTTTCTGCACCCCGGCATCTTGGGGACGTTTCAGGCAGCAGTTGGTGATACCTCTCCAATGTGAATTTGTTGTTCAGCAAATCCGTGTGGTTTTTCAACCCAGATTTTTAACAGGATGGATGGCTGGCTGTATTCACACTTTTCGCTTTGTAATAATATGCAAATCCACTTGGCGCCCAGTCAATACCCAAAAGAGTGGAAGGATTAATGATATTTATAAGGGCAAAAAAAAAAATGCTCTGCTAACTGGGTCTTTCCATTTCTCTTTGAGATCTAATTTACATGTCAGTATTATTTTAACATTTGCTACAGAATCCAGAGCTCTTAATGAGATCAGAATATAACCGACAGCTTCAGCTTTTTGATTCCACAGAATGTGCTAATTTATGGATAATCTCTTCTAAATTGAGAAAAAAGGGATTTTCCCTCCTGATACTGAGAAGCTATAAATATTTTCATTTACCTCTACCCCAACCTTCTAAATTTTATAAAGAAAACAACCCCACTCTCTCCCTCTCATCCCATGCCCGTGTTTCTCCCGGGTGAGAAAACTAAGAGTAGCCTGAACTTTCCTCGGGAACCCAGTCACTGCAGAGGTGACCCAGTCTGAAAGCTTAGAGCTGCGCTGGGGGCTTGGTCTGGCTGGGACTTTACTCCTAACTGCAGAGCTTTGTTGAGATGCAAATAACCTCCCCCTACCCCCCACCCCAAACCCTCCCAAAGAGTAGCGATTTTATATTTGATTTCCTTTTTTTGTTTTGTTTTGTTTTGTTTTGTTTCCCTTCATAAACCCGAACAATGTAGGTGTCTAGTCATATACAGGTCTTAGCAAGAAAGAAAGTTCGAGAAATTCAAGCCGCCATTAAGGTACGTCTGGCTTGCCCAGTTGTAGGGGGCTTTTCATCTCCATGGTTACAGGCTTTTCCTTTGTTTTCCTCCCTTCCCCTACCCTGCAGGTGTCTAGTCACATTCAGGTTCTTGCCAGAAGGAAATCTCGTGATTTTCATTCCAAGCTAAAGGTATGCGCTTTCCTGCTTTTTGGCTTGTGGTTGCTATGCATCTCACTTCCTGTTTTCCATGGTGACTGGTGAATGCCTGGTGCTGGGATTCTTGTAACCTAGTTTCCTCGCATGTGAGAGCTGTTTACATTTCTTTGTGTCTAATCTCTCTGTTTCTGTACTAGCCTCACATTAAGCTGGTTGTGTGCGTGTGGGAGAGTGTGTGTGTGTGTGTGTGTGTGTGTGTCCCTAATAACAATGCAAATGCAGCAGAGAGCTGGTCTTGATAACTTTTCAGCACAGAAACATGATAAATTTTAACCTTTAAGCATCCACTAAGCAGCCCTGAGATAGGAATGGGAAAAAAATCCAGACATACAAAATTCATGTCAAAATATTTAAAAAGAATCACTTCCACAGTGATCACCATAAAATTATTTTTAAAATATTTAGAAAAGTTATTTTAATTTGTATTTTTGATATATTTTTAAGACTACTTATGAAAAGTGTGCCTTTTTTCAGAAAATTTTTCATGTGTTCTTCCAACAGAGTTTTTTCCACCAGATTTCTTTCACATTGCTTAATATTATCTTTTTAAGTTATTAAAAAAGAAATTGGAGGAGACCTTTAAAAGCAAAAGGTGGATCTTAAGAGATGGGAACTTCCGCTCTTAATTTTTTTTTTTTACATGTACCTTATTTTCCAGTATCTTAAATTATGTTTCTAGCAAAATTGGAGGCATGGACAATTTTTTTAATGCAATTTCCTCCTATTTTCTCCCCTTCCAGAATTTGCAGTAAAGCACACATGACTTCCCCGCCCCCCCATGATCCCATGATGCTTTATTTTAGAAATGCAAAGAGACTGTAGTTTGCATGGAGGAGATATACTTTATAATCACAATGAATTTCTAGATCATGTTGTTGCCTTCCCCACATGCCTTTTTTTTTTTTTTTTTTTTTTGGGTAATTGTTCTGTTCTGATTTTCCACATACAATAAGGAAATTTCTGGTTTTCTTTGAAAGCACGAAGTATGATACCACAGCACTGAGTTTTGAACACTGGGTCCCTTCCCAAAGTTGCCCAGCTTTTTTTTTTCAATGTAAACAAGACTGGCTGTGGAATAGGAGTAGGGACGGGAAGGAGCATTTGGGGTGCCCTTTGCAGTGGGCTGGGCAGCATGCTGGCTCGCTCGCACGTGTGGCTGATGGTGGCTGGCTTTTAGCTGCACTGGCTGAGCAGTTGGAAGACTAAGATAACTTCATAGATCCTGCTTTTTAACCAAAGGTGCAGTCCTCTCTATGTGGATGTAACTACCCCAGTGTTTGCTCAAATTCTGACTCTGTTTCTAGTTTCTCTGAGCTAACGAATTAATGATGTACAAAGAGGTTGACAGGCATCAATCTGTGTTTCCATCTGCAATGTTATGAACTGCTCTATTTCTGCACTCTTGTGTGGTTCCTATAGACTCAGCTGGGCATGCAGCCTCAAGCTGAAGCTCTCTAGGTCACAAGGGACCCCCAAAGGATGCAAAAAACATTCTTTCTTACATGGTGATTTTAAGACTCTTCCGCAGTGAAACAGTTTTGCCATCACATTGTATACACACACACACACACACAGAGTTTTGTTTGATTTTGTTCTTTAAAAGTAAAGGAAGACTCTCCTATCATCTCCCACCGCCTCACCCCTGACCCACTCTCCTTTGGGGCAAGCAATGGGGAGGAGGAGGAGGTGGAAACAGAGGCAGCAGCATAGCAACTGGCTCAGGATTTCGGCTTCAAGAACCACCTCCATCTTCCTGTTGTTCCTTTTCTTCCTACCACATTGTTCTTGGAAATGGTGAATCCTTGGTTTTTCCTATCAGCTGATACCAATTGAGTGTTCTAGGCCTGGTACTCCTCATGGGGGCGGGGAGGTGGGCAGTTAATTGCCAATCCCCTATTACAGAGCCAGCCATGCAAACTGGGGATGTGAAATATGGGGCACTGCTAGATAAGATTGGCGAAGTACTGAAATAAAACATGGAGGGGGAGGACCCGGGGTCGAGTTGCACAGAGAAAGTACTGTTGAGTTTGGTGACTGAAAGACAAGGAATTGGGGTAGGAGAGCCTCTTCTGTATCTTCTCATTTACACTCACTCTGAAGTGTATTCCACTGGTCTAGATTTTTATGAATAATAGTTAGCAAGCCAGGGCTCCAGGAATTGAACTGATTGCTACAAGTCCCCCAGCCTAGTAAGGAATGAAATCAGGATTTGAACTTGAATCTTTGTGAATCCTAAATCACTTCGCCCTAGGATGGTTTCATCTATTGCAGGGGGCTCTCCCCAGCAGGTACTGTAGGAAACCTGCCCCCACTCTCATGCCTTGGAAATGTACAGGTAGGCCCGGGTACCAGCCCTTCACTAGACGCCTGCATCATAGAAGTGAGGTGGCTTTTGAACTTTGTGCCCTTGGTCAATGTGGACTTAATTTGGAATGTATGGTGGGGTGGTCATAAAAAACTCTAATGATGTGGTCCCAGCTACAGCTCTGAGAGTGTGCGGGCAGTGGTGGTAACTTAAGACTGGCTGCCACCTGCCTGGCAGATCTGCAGCCTACCTCCATGGGCATTTTATCCTGAAGATTTGTTGACCCCATGGGTAAGGGGATCTCACTACTCCATCCACACTTCCTTGTTCAGCTCTGGACTTGACCAGAACATTGGAGGGAGGCAGGATTGAGCATTTCACTGAGTGTGTTGTGAGGTCGAGCTGATAGCCATATCTTCTTGGCTTCCCACTCTAACTAATGAGATAAACTTGCCGTGCAAAGTTGACGTCATCCCGTAGACAATAAGGATAACTTCTGAGTGATGGTGGTGATAGCAGGAAGTAGCCAGGCTTACAAGAGGTGCTATGTTCTGCCCGAAGTGTAGCAAGGCTTCCTGGTAGACACGCTGACCATCTTGGGACCTCCCCTGAAGGCACTGCCAGGCTTCCTTCTCCACATGCATATGTGGAAGTCAGAGGACTGCATATGTCTGAGGGGGACAAAGGCCTGTGACTCTCTGGTGAAAATTGAAGCCAAGTTAGCATTTCCATGTTCTTCCTTGCAGTTTGAAAAGTGGGTTACTCAGAACTGGGACTCCTGCCAGATGTAGTGTGCATGCAAGTCTTCTTCCCTATAAGCCACTCTCTACTTCCCAAGAAAGGATATAGTAGAATCTTTAGATTGGGGGTTTCAGTCTATTTTAAGCACCAAAACTCATGTTCGAGATAGAAATTTTACTTGAAACCTTCAGTATATAGACAAGTAAAAGCTGTTTTAATTGACGCTCACCCTCTCTCGTTCTTTGCAATGGCCTCTTTGGCAGTTCCATTGAATAAGGTTTGCAACACCACACTTCTTGAGGCAGGAGAAGGAGACTGCCTATCAACTGACCCTCCAACCTTGATAGGACAGAGTGTCCCATTGAAAATTTATATTTTTCTGCATTCTGTAGCCTGTTCTGCCATATTTCTCTGAAGAAAACAGACTCAAGAATGAGAGTGGTCATTCACCTCACAGTTATGGATGAGTCATCCTAGCTACAAAAGCACGCTCTTGAAAATCAATTAGAATAAGTTCCAAAGGTCAGTCTTATGCCTCTGCTAATAGCAGTGGTTCTCAAAGTGCTTGTATGGGGCTCGGATAAGCCCAAAATTTGTTGACTTTAATTTTAATTTTTAAAAAAATATTTTTTTAAAAGTTTAACATTTCTACAAAGATTCGAACTTTCAAAGTGCAGAAATGATTACTTAATCCAGTCCAGGTGACTTTCTGTTGCAAGCCCAGCATGTGTTCTAGGCCTGCTAGTAGAGGCCAGGCATGTAAAGTGGAATAAGGAGAGTCTCTGTTTGAGGAACACTAAACTTTTTTGTTATTTTTGGCCAGGTTTGAGGGAAATACGAGATTTCCAGTGGATTGTTCCTAGCTAGGGGGCCCTGCAGTAGACACTTAACAGAGTAGTGTAAAGGCCGCCCAGTGAAAAAAGAATGATTAATTCTGAGTGTAGAGAAAGGCGCCATCAGGAGTGAGCAAAGAGGAAGGCAGTGAATCTCCAGAGATGGGGGGGGTAATTTGGGGAACCATGAAGAACCCCATCTAGTTGGAGGCATGGAAGGAGGCCAGAGGAGCCTAATGGGGAGGTGCGCTAAGGAGTGAGGTTCCTCTGTGGGCCATCTAGATCTATGCTTTGAAAAGGTCTCTGGTCGTTTTTGGAGGATAGCTGGGTGGGAGGCGACACTGGAGAAAGGGCGACTAATTCAGGGGCTGCTTCAAGAGTGTACATGAGAGGCGTGCGGGTCTGGCAGGGTGCTGACACACCTGGGCCCACTCCGAGGCCCTCACGGACCTTGCCATCATCCTTGGCTGGCTCTCATTCTAGGCCTCTCTGACTGCTCTGCACTCTTTCTTCCTCATTAAAATTTTAAAGAGTAAATTATGTTTAAAAGTTCTATCCTTATTAAGTCTGAAAAGTGTATACCAAAAGTTTTCAGAAAGATTTTCAATAGCAGCATTTAACACTGAGCTTATTAAAGGTTAGGGTCTCTTAAAGTAATGGCAATTAACTGAGTGTATATCAAAATTCACTATGAAGTTTTTGTTGTTGCTAAATTTAAAACAACAAGTAAACAAGGGTGGAGAGTGATGTGTGTATGACTCGTTCATGTTTGTACTATCCAGAAATGATTTTCATTATGACATAGTTCCTTTAAATTTTTTAAGTGAAAAAAAAAAAAAGGCAAGAGATTATTTTAATTTTTTTGTAACTTCCTCTAACTCCTACTTACCCAGCCAAGCTCAGTTCTCCCCAGACCCCCCATCATAAGTGTCTTTCCTTGCCTTTTATTTCCCTGAGCATATCTAAGAAAGAAAACTTTCTTCTTTAGTCCCTATCCTTAAATTAATTTAGATTTTTACCCATTGTCTACCATGAAATTTGTGCTAAAGCCACTGGCGTGAAATGAGACTTTCCTCCACAATTTAAACAAGTCT